ATGGTTGTTCTCTTGTAAAAGATACTGAGGGTTAAAAAAGCCTAGAGAACTAATGTTGGTTTACACAGTTATAAAGAGACCTTTCATGACCACCTTGATTATGTAAGTTGCTATCTCCTGACAGTCATTATCCACATTACTCTATTTTCTAAACAGCATTGATTACAATGTGTAATCATTACTTTATTTGCTTTCTTGTTGTGGTGTAGACAGCCTTCAGGATGGACCCCAGTGATTTTTCACCTCTTAGTAGTCATGTCATTGTGCAGTCTCCTCCCATACTGAATCATGCTGTTCTGTGTGGCAAATACAGAGTAGCAGAAATGGTGATGTATAACTTCCAAAGCTAAGTCATATATGGCACTTGCTAGCTTGGGTCCCCCAAAGCCATGTGTGTTAAAGGCGTGGTCCCCAGTTTGAAGTTATTGGGAGGTGGTAGAAACTTTAAGAGGTGGGTCCTAGTACAGGTCTTTAGGATTTTGGGGACATGCCCTCAAAGGGGATTGTGGAACCCTGTCCATGAGGTGAGCAGTTTTGCTTTGCCATAATGTGAGCAGTTTTGCTTTGCCATAGTGTGCGGAAACATACCTCATTCTACTAAAGACCCCCAAACAACGGAGCCAACTGATTATGGATTCAAGCTCTCAAAGCTATGAGTCAAAATAAAATAACCCTTTTCTCTTTATAATTTGATTATGTCAGATATTTGTTATAGTAAAGGAAAGTGGTTAACAGCATTGTAGCTGTCTTTCCTGGGGAAGCCAGGTGTCATGCCACTGGGACACTCAAACACCCCATAGAGAAGCCTCCTACTAACAGCCAGCATCAACCTGCCAGTCATGTGAGTGAGTCACCTTAGAAGTGGATTCACCAGATCACTCAAGGTTTTAGATGACTGTATCTCTGCTCACTCTCCTTGGCATTGTCTAGCAGCTGCTGGATTGATTTCTCATGGTACCTTACAATTTTAAAGCAATTTTTCTTTCCCTGGTCACTAATTGCAATCTTATCTTCTGTATCTGAAATTCTGCCCTCACATTGGCTCATCCTGCTACATAGACTTTCAATGGAGTTTTTAATGTCCTGGAAATTTGCATCTGTTTTATAGATTCCATTTGTTTCCTATGTTGGGATTCCATCATGTTCCTTAGCTCCTCCATTTTTTTTATCTGTGTCCTCTCTAGATTTATTTGTTCTTTATTTTTTTTTTGGTACTGGGGATTGAATTCAGGACCTTGCACTTGCGAGGCAGGCGCAGTGCCACTGAGTTAAATCTCTGGCCCCCTCTCTAGATTTATTAATCATGTCTTGCACTATGGGCACAATCTTTGCTGTTATGTGAGAAATTATTTCTGATTTCATTTTTTCCAGATCCTCTTTTGTTGCCAGTTCAGGGAATCCAGGTGGTTGAGTAGCAGAGTGTTCCATCTCGTTTCCCTTTGGGGTTGCTGTAGGTGATCTGGAAATCTGGTTCTGAGGCTTGTTTACCTGACTTCTCATTTCAACCGGTGTGTGTTTGAGTGTGTGTGTGTGTGTGTGTGTGTGTGTGTGTGTGTGTGCTGCTGGTGGCTCACCTCCTCTGTGCTGGGAGTGGTGGTAGGTTGGCCCAGAAGCCTCCTACTCTGCACTGGGAGCTGTGGCATGTTGACCTGGAAGCCTCCTCTGTTCTGGGAGTGGTGGCAGTCAGCCTGGAAACCTCCTCTGCACTGGGAGTAGTGGCATGTTGGCCTGGAAGCCTCCTCTGCTTTGGGACTGGTGGCACATCTGCCTGGAAACTCCCCACTCTGCACTGGGAGTGGTGGCAGGTAGGCCCGGAAGCCCCTCACTCTGCACTGGGAGCTGTGGCACGTTGACCTGGAAGCCTCCTCTGCCTCCCTGGCTCACTCTCATGGAGAGGCCCTGAGCTAGAACCACCCAGTCAAGACTGTCCTGAGTTCCTGGCCCATTTATGGTCCCATTTGAAAGATGCATTTGAAAATATGAGTGATAACAAGTATTTATTGTTTCAAGAAGTATTGGGTGATTTATTATTCAGTGATAGTTAAGATACTTGTTTGTCTTCTTTTCCTGGTAGAGTGTAAACTCTACGAGGGCAGGGCTCATGTGTGTCACTTTTCCCACACCCAGAACAATAGCAAGTACATAGAAGCACATTAGTGAATACCTAGTGAATGAATGAATCCCTAGAAGTGGTAGTGGGAGGATTAAAATCTCTCCTCTTACCTTTTGGACTTTCCTCTTACCATTCTGTTGACTCTTTTCCCTCAGAACTGAGTCACACAGCCACCTAGGGGTGGGCTTTTCCTGTTGCCTACACAGCAATTCACAGTTAATTAAAACTTTGCATAAACAGAACAAGGGAGGATGTTAAAGTAATGAGGTGACAGCCCAATGTGTGTTATGCTGGGCTGAGAAGAGAATTTAATTTAGAGAAGAATTATGCATACGCAGAGAAGAACACTCCATTAAAACAAAACAACTGCCTGGAAAGAGATAAAACAAAAATGGATTCTGCATCTGTGGACTAAATGGTGAAACTGCACATTTGGGGCACTTTGGAATCCTCAGAGCTGGGACCCCTTGAGTACTGGGACAAAGAAACTCTGGGTTAGGTAGGTAGGGGGACAGAAGAGGGCTCCTGCCGTTCTGTGTGGACTGGAAGCCAGATCTTCAGGAGCATGGTTCTCATCCTCGGGTTATTTTGTCCCCAGCCCTCCTGTCCTAGCGTGGTGCTCCCCCAGAGCTGACTGAAATGCTTGAGACAAGGATTTGAGGGCAAACATGTTGTTCGGAAATGTGAAGAACATGAGTAGGTGAGGAGGGAGGCAATCCAAGCAAGGAGAGCTGGAAATAAAGAGTAAGTTATCAATTCCGCTACCACAGTGGGGGATTGGACCTTTATTCCATTGGGGAAACATTGACAGACCTTGTGTCTTAGTCTGTCTTCAGTTGCTGTAACTAAGTACAGAAACTGGGTAGTTTGTAAATAATAGAGGCTTAGTTGGCTCATGATTCTGGAGGCTGGAAAGTCCAAGCGTGCAGTTCCCACAAATGGTGAAAGCATTCTTCTCTTTAAAGTATTTTTTTTCCATTTTAATTTTTCTGTTAAGTTGACACATAATTATACATATTTATGAGGTAGAGTGTGCATATTTATTCAGTACATGTATACAAAGTGTAATGACCAAATTAAGGTAACTAGCATTTCCATATTCTTATCATTTTTAGTGTTTGGGGGGTTCAAACTCCTTTCTTCTAAGTTATTCATAAAATATATAATGGACTCTTGCAAACTATATTCATTCTACTATGTTCGAGAACTCTAGAGTGTATTCCTTCTATCTATATGTATTTTGGTACCTGTTACTCAAACTCTCTCTATTCCTGTTCTCCTCTTCCCTTTGTAGTTTTAGTCTTCATTATTCTACTCACTTCTTTAAGATTAACTTGTTTTAGCTTCTACATATAAATGACAATATAGGCATTTTCCTTTCTATTTAGCTTATTTTATTTACATAAAGCCCTCTAGTTCCATCCATGTTTCTGCAAATGACAAGATTTCATTATTTTTTATGGCCAAATAATATTCCTGTCAGTATGTGTGTACAAATTTTCTTTATCCATTCATTTGCTGATGGATATCTGTTGATTCTGTATCCTAGAAGTGGGATAGCTATATAACATGGTAGAACTATTTTTAGTTTTTAAGGAACTTCCAGTGAAGGCTTGCTTGCTGCATTACAACATGGCAAGAGGGTATCTCATCTGGTAAAATAGAGCAAGCATGCTAGCTCAGGTTTCTCTTCCTCTTCTTATAAAGTCGCTAATGCCCCTGTAGGGCCTTACCTCCATGATTGCATGTAATTCGAATCACCTGCCAAAGATCACACCTCCAAATACTATTAATACATGGATTTGGGGATTAACTTTTCAAAACATGAACTTTTGGGGGACACACTGAAGCCACAGGACCTAGGAAAACAAAAAGTTCAGATTTACCCCAGATAAAGGCTGAGTGAGCTTGGGAACTTGTAGGCTCATCCCCATCAATCATTAGTTAAGAGCTGCTAGACAGGGGTGTTAGTTTTCAGGCACTACTTAGGTGGGCAAAGTGGCATAGCCTGAAGTCAGGCCTCTGACAAAGATGCAAATGTGCCTGGCATACTGTGCACAGAAATGGTAAGGGAATCTGAAAGCAGAGTATTGAAGAAAATCTCTACCATCCTGGACTTTTTAAGGACGCTTCAAATTTAGCTCCTGGTCCCCTAGATTCCATAAACACTAAAGATCTTTTCTGATTTCTGTATTACTCACCTTTGTCCCAATGTCAAATTAGTCCACAAGTTTTGGCATGTCACCTTCTGCCAGTTTTCATATTCTCTCCATTCTCATTCTCTCCATTCACTTTACTTGGATCAATCATTCATTCACTCCACCAAAATTTACTTTCTGCCCACTGAGCTGGGTTCTGGGTTCACAGAGTGAATGAACACAGATGTGGAAGTCATAGACTGGTTTTAGAGTACATGTATATGAGCTCTTTAACAAGTTCCCACAAGGAACAACTTTGGATGCAGGATTTCCCAAAACTTTCACCATGTTAGACCTCTAATTATGGAAGTGCTAGGGGTAAGAGTATATAAGGGGATGATCTAGTTTTATCTGGGGATGTTCAGGAAGGTTTTACCAAAGAAGTAGTGTTTAACAGTTAAAGAAAGTAATGTTGTTTGTAATTAGAAATCATATCATTAGTTGTTGAAAATCAGCTCTATCTCACTGGAGGCTCCATGAGGGCAGGGATTACGCTTGTCTTCTTCCATATTATACCCCCAGTGCCTAGAGATTGCTCAGTAAATATTTGATAAATGCATGAAACATTTTAACTCCTACTTGGAAAGAAGTAATTATACACAGTATTCTGTTAGGGCAAGCTAAGGTTCAATAACAAATAGAACCAAATATATAGTGGTCCAACATGATAGAATATTTGTTTTTACATTTTTATTTTGAAATAATTAGGCATTTATAGTAAAGCTGCAAGAATCAAATAAAAAAAAAGAATCAAACAAAAGATTCTTGCATATTCTTAACTCAGATTCTCCAATTGTTTTTATCATGTTTACCTATGATTCTCCTCTTTCTGTCTCTGTGTATAATTTCTTTCTGAAAGAGAGAATAAGTTACAGATACGATGGCCAAAAGCCCTTAATAGTGCAGTGTGTATTTTTCAAAAGATAATCTTTTACATAGCCTCAACACAACTATAAAAACAAAGACATCAGCATTAATATAGTAATCCCATTAAATCCCCAGACTCATTCAAGTCTTGGCAATTGTCTTAATAAACATCCTTTTAAACACCTTTGTTTTTTTGGCCCAGAATTTATTCAGGATCATGAATTGCATTTAGTGGTCATATCTCTTCATTCTTTTTCAATTTGGAAGAATCCCTCAGTTTTCTATGTCTTTCATAACTTTAATATTTCTGAAGAGTACAGGCCAGATATTCTCTAGAATGTCTCTCCATTTGGCTTTCTCTCATGGCTCTTTATGATTAAATTCCAATTATATATTCATCTGTATATATTGTAAACCAATTCCAGTCTGATACCTGACCTTCCTCTTTTCTGTATTTCTATTTCCCCTCCCTGACAATGAGTTGGCTTCCATATCCTCCCTTCAGTCATTTATTTTCTCAGTTCCTTTGAATATAACTGCACTAGTCAGCTTTCTCATTGCTGAGATATACCCAACAACCCCACTTTAAAGGAGAGGTTTAATTTGCTTATGGTTTTAGTCCTTGATTGGCTGGCTGCAAGCGAGTGTCATCATGGCAGAAGGGTGTGGTAGAGCAAAGTTGCTTGGTTCATGGCAGCCAGGAAGCAGAGTGAAGGAAGAGTGCTAGGGTGGAAGGGGCAAGGGAACAGACATAGACCACAGGGCCACACTTCCGTGACCCACACAGACACACCTAGAAGTGTGTGCTGCCAATCCCCAGGTAGATTCCAAAGCCAATCAAGTTGAAACTCTACCTTAACTGCCACAGCAACCAATCTTCTGCACACCCCCTCCTTCGCCTCAACATGTACATACTTGTCATCCTCATGGGCTGTATTCTCCTCCCTTTTACTGTGGCCTTTTTGGACGAGTTTCTCCCATTTTGTATACTACAGGCATGGTAAGCCTGACCCTAGTTTTTCCATGGCTATACAGGGTAAGTGAGCAGCAACCCTTATATGCAGGACCTATTGCTGTTACTACTCAAAATTTACATTTTGCTCATGCAAAATCCATGGAAAGATGAAGAATTCTATGGGATGACCTCTTCTTATGGTCACTCAGGATGCAGACTGATAGTCTCTGTTACCTTCAGCACTTGGCTTTCCAGGCCACTGTAATCAGCCCATTAGAAGGAGAAAAGAACAGGGAAGAGACAGGTGGGAAGCTTTTAGGGAATGCTAAAAAGCTGAATGCATCACTTCCACTTATGTTTCATTGGCTAGAACTCAGTACATGGTCACTGCTAACTGCAAGGAAGGCTGAGAGGTGTAGCTGGCTTGTCCAGGCAGAAGAGCTTTTACAGCTTCACATGAGAAAACTGAAAGGATCTTATCCACAGGCTCCTAGGATCTCTTCCTACAGGAATGTAAGTTCCCAGAGGAAAAGAGGAGCATGGGAAGTAATCCAGGACCTGAAACTCACAGGTGTAGCTTAAAATTGACAGGTAAGATGGCAAGATACTTCCCTCCTTCTTCATCCTGAATGCTCCTACTCATATTCCTCTTCTGATTAGAGAGGCACCACCTGAATGGGGAAAAAAATCATAGTAGGCCTTGAGTTTTCACTGCAAACTTGTGATGTTTTTCTATCATTGATTTCTTCCATTGGGGAAGCTCTGTAATTGGGTGAATTCTGAGTTGGGAGGGAATGCATGGAAAGTTGTCTTTGGAACTGCCTTTTTACTTTCTTTTCCAGGTTTAGGAGGCATGGAGCAGTATTGAAAAAATGGGGTTTGGAGTCATACATTTCTGAGTTTGAATTCCAGCAACAGTCCTTATTGACCATGTAACATTGGGTTGTTTTGCATTTCTGAACTTTATTTCCTTACCTGTTGACAAAGTTTTACTTAATAGGCTTGTGGTGAGGATTACACAATATAATATGCAAAAAATGCTCAGCACAATGCTTGGCACATGCTAAGGACTTATTTAAATGGTAGCAGCTGCTATCCTCATCTCTCTTTTGGTCCATTTATTCTAATAAGGACATTGGAATGTGCCGCTTAAACAGTAAGTATTTAATACATTGTCCAAATACAGTGAATTAAAAATTACGGCAGAAGCCATATCCCAACCCTAGGCTGGCAGTCGATGTCTTTCCACACCCGTAAGTGAGTGTGCTCACTTGAGCACAGGCCAGGCCAGTCTTCTCTCTGAGCATCACAGTCTCAGACATCATGGACCCAGCTGCAGAAAGTGAAGGAGCCTCCCTGCAGGGCCAGCATCAGAGACGAGGGTCTTTTAATCAAGCCTCAGGCAATTAGGTGTCCTCCTTGTCCCTCCAGGGTGCCGCCTCCTTAGAAGTTCAATCTTTCAGGGCTTGTGAGAGGGCTTGGTCGGGACAATGTGCGCCTTCCTCTCCTCTCCTCTTTCCCCCCTCCTCTCTCCTCTCTTCTCTCCTCTCTTTCCTTTCTATCTCTCTCCTTCTTCTCACTCCCCTCTCCCCTCTCTCCTCCCTCCCTTCCACCTCCTCTCCTCTCCTCTCTTCTCTTCTCTTCTCTCTTCTTTCTCTCCTCTCATTTCTCTCTCCTATGCATTTCTCCTCATCGCTCCCTCCTCTCTCTCCTCTCTTCTCTCTCCTTTCTTTCTTCCTCCTCTTCCTCTCTTTTCTCTCATTTTCCTCTCTGCTCTCCTTTCTTCTGTCCTCTCCTCTCTCTCCCCTTTTCCTCTTCTCTCTCCCCTCTCCCTCCTCTTTCTCTCCTCTCTCCTCTCTCTCTCTCCTGTCTGTCTCTTCTCTCTCTCCTCTCCCTCCCGTAGATCATAGGGCTGATCATTGAACCATAGACTGTGTACCTGAGCTAACCCCTTCAGGCTTGAGTGTGTGTGTGGAAGAATATGAATATGAATATGGTTCTGGATTCATGGTGTGGTTTGGGCTGATGTTTTACCTTTATTCCATGCTGGGGGCTTCTGTGCAGACAAAACGGCATGCAATTAACCTTGTAGGCTGACTTGAAATTGTTTTGGCCCCTGACAGTTATGCTGAGCTGTCTGCAAAGGCAAGACCTTACTGCCTTGTAACCTGGCTCTGTTGCTATGGAAACTCGAATTCAGTTATCCTTTTAACTCTCAAGTAAGAAAGTATTCACTGGGAGTAGAGGGGCCATACCAGGTGGGGATGGATAAGTAAGGAGGTAGGAAACAGCCTTAGGAGGTGAATTTGTGTTGGGAATTTCATTTCTTGTGGTGGAGACCAAGTCCCCATTCCCAGTGGGCTCACAGCTGAGCTCTGGAGAAATCTTTTTCTGGAAACACACTCCTCTGGACTCCACATCTTGTTGGGGCTAGGGTAGCATTGGTATTTTCATAGCAGAAATCATTAGTTTGGTTTAGAAAGTTTCTAGCAGAATGGGGTTCTGGCTAACTTCAAGCCTCAAATAAGTCCCTGCTGACAGTAGAAGAGTTGGTAGGCTGTGAGCTAGTTCTGTGCTGACCTGTGTACACTGGGACCTCTCTGCACTCCAGTTCCTGTATCTGAAAAAAAGGAACGAATGAGGGCAATGGTATCCCCACTTACCTTATAAGCTTGGTGGGAAGGTGAATAAAGTCACATTACCCCAGGAAAAAGCTTTTGTTGCCCTCAGAACTGGGAGGCTTGGTGAATTTCCACTTGTGTAGGATAGTGGTTAGGGCTGCTCCATGCCCCTACTCCAAATTCAGCTCTTTCAACTGGAGACCCAAGAAACCTTCAGTGCCTGCTTTTCCGGTCTCTATTTCCCTGTCATGTAAGGCAAGCTCCCTTGCTTCCAACTAAATTGACATCTCTGTAGAGGTGGGAATCCTATCTGAGTCATGTCTGGAATTTGGCACCCCCCCATCCCTTTCCTGCCTTGTGCCTTTCTGGGACTGGCAAAGAACCTGACTTCTAGAATGTAAAAATTATTATAGATGTAGCATTGAAAAATAATGCAAATCACATTATCATTCTCTCCATATCCCCGACTCTTATCTGTTTATAGTTAGGGGCTTTCCCAGAGGCAGGGCGAGGTGAGAACTCTGGAGGAAGTAGTGAACTTAGGGGCTGAGTCGAGGGACCACCAGGAGAAAAGCAGGAACTGAGACAGGAAGGAAAAGGCAGGGAAAAAAGGCAAATTATTACCATGCATGGGCAAGAGGGGCTCAGCCCCTCATCCTCAACCACGGGCACCCTGGGAGACAGTGTGGGCTGTGCCTCAGTGTTAACCTGCCTAGGGAGTGATGGAGCCGGATATTGATTGCTCAATGCCCATCAGATGATGTTAAGGGGGACATTAGGTTCCTAGATTGGGCTGCTCATGAAATTCAGTGAGTGACTATCAGAAATGAGCCAGGAGCGGGTGTTAAAATGCCTATGGAGGCCTTTGACTTAGGAGAGTCTGACTTGGCAGGTGTAAGCTGGGGCACAGAAATATACATTTCCAAGAGGCCTTCTCTGCTTGTCCTGTTGCCTGTCAGTGCTCCGTGACATGTTGGGCTCCCTCCACATGCCCTCTCCTTTTGGCCCAAGTTCTAGTCCTACTTTCTTTGCCACCCCCTGCTGACCTCTATGATAGTTCCCCACTCTGGTCTTCAGTGTCCTCCTCATTGATAAAATGGATATAATGTTTCCTCTCTGATGAACTATTCTTCATGCAGTGACAGAAGTGATGTGAAAGAGCTTTAGACAATTAGTATGTTACATGGGCAAGGGCACTGGCTTCTTTCCATTTCCCCAATTTCTGCTTCACAACTGCTCTCCTAGTCTCCAAGCACTTAGTTCTATCCTGGCCCTTTGATCAGCCTTTGCCTACTGAGGGGCAAAACTGCATATTATCCCCCAAACGGGGACTAATATCACAGTCCCATTTCTTCGCTTTGCTATTTCCCATGACCACTCTCAATTCTAGACCATGGGATAATTTTCCTGGATGGAGGGGCTACTTACTGGACCAGCAGGAAGGGAGGGGTGGGGGATGTTTGCATCACAATGGACATTCAGTCCCGGAATGTCAAGAGTGGTGCTGCATGAGATAAAGGCTGGCACAAGCTCAGGTGCTCATTTTGGCTGTTGTCTGAAAAGTGAGTAGCTGGGATGTACCCTGGTGAAAGTATGAGGAAGCTTCCCCAAATTTCCTCATCAAAACCCCAACCTTCTTCTCCTCCTGTTTTCTCCTCTCATCATCCAACTCCCCTTCCTTCCCTATGTCCTCAGTCTTCCACCTCTCAGCCTTCCCTCCAACAAACACCAACCTTTTCTTATTGCCCCACTGTTTTCCCTCCTTTGACTAATAATGGCACTTCCCACTTGCCTGCTTGGAGGATCCCCCTTCTCAGTTCTTCCTCTTCCAGATCACCCACTCAATAACCTGTTCATCTTGCTCCTCTTTCCTATTATCCTTCTATTTTTACTCCTCCTCCTCCTAGCCTGCCCTTTTAGTTCCCTTTCCTTTAGTCCCCACTCACAATCTAGCCACCCCAACCAAGACCAGATAATTGGCAAGAAATCCTAGGGGGTGGTTTCCCCACTACTGGTGGAATCGCCAGGATTATGGATTGATAGAAGACTGATGTGGTGAACATAAGGACTACGGGACAATGGCGAGTTACCACCCAGCCTGAACCCTTTCTTCATTGATTTCCTTGTGGGTTGGGTCTCTGCATCTGATTGTAATTGTAAAGGAACCTAAAGACCTTGAGAACAACCAGCCTCCTAAGGTTCTCAGTTTACACAATTGTCAGAAGTCTTGTGTCTTGGCTCAAAAACTTGAAGGGACTTGCAAATGTCTTCTGAATCTCATTCACAGTGTCTCTGAGAGATCAAGGCAGAAGCACGGAAAGACGTTGACTGACAGTCAAGAAATAAGATGGAACTCAGATTGGTAAAGGCCTGGTTCTCATGGGCACAAAGGATGCATATGAAAAAGTTACATCTTTGCCTTTCCAGGGCATCTCATGGCAAGCTCACCACGCATAATAGGAAGGACAAGTGTAGTGGGCCCAGTGAGGCTTGCTCTGCTCCAGACCCTTCTGGGCCTTGCAGATAAATGACTGCAATTGTTTGAGTTGCAGGATGTCAACTCAGAACTCTATGACCAGAGGGTGAACAACTTCAGGTTCTTCTATGACATCACCTTAGGGTCTGCAATGACATCAAGGCTCAAATATGGAGCTTAGGGGATGATTATCACAAGTACCATTTTAGGGATGGGGCTGGTCTTTGTATTGGATACGTAAAGGTATGCATTGTTCAGATAAATAAATATATCTTTTGTTTAATGTTTTGTTCATCTAGAACCCTTTGTCTAGAGTAGGGATCTGTAAACCTCTTCTTTAAAGGAACAGATAATAAAGATTCTAGGATTTATGGATCATAATCACTCTTGCCAATTCTGCTATTGTGTGTGAAAGCAGCTATAGACAATATGTAGACAAATGAGTAGGATGTGCTCCAAAAATAGTTTATTTACAAAAACAGACCATGGCTGGACTGGGTCCATAGTCAGTTCACCAACCCTGGTTTCAAAGAAAGAATGTTGGCTTCATAATTTGACTCCAGTTTGCATGTGATTTTGCTAGTCACTTTGTTCTTCTGAACTTCATTTTTCTCCTCTGGATAATGCAGATACTCATTTCCATCTCTCAGTGATGTTTTGTGGAGAAATAGCATATACAGAGTTCCTGACACATCAAGGTACTTAACTCCTAGGAGATTTCCCTGTCCCCTATTCTCATCTTCTGGTTATGGAGGCCCATGGCTGATTGCTTGATGGTCAGACAATCAAGTGTACAAGGGTGCATTTATAAACTCACTCTCATGTGAGTCCTCCTAACTCTGTTGTGCTCCAGGGCTACAGAGAAGGCTCCCTGGTCCAGGCCATCTTCTTTGGATTAACTAGATATCTGGGAAGTTATAAGTGAGAAGAGCCAGGTCTGGTGTTTGATGATGCTTAGATCTGAACCCTCACTCTGTTCTACAAAAGTCTTAGTGTGCAGTTTGGCTCCAAGCTGCCTAGACAAGTGGGAAAGCATATCAGTACCATGATCACTAGGGCCATGAGGGAAATACACCCAGCTACTATATGGACAGTTATGTTCTTCCCTGATTAGCAAGACAGGGATTTCTCCTGCACACTTTCATTGTGTGTAAGGTTCTTAGTCCCATCATCAGAGCAAGGATAATATTGGATTTCATAGGCTCTTAAGTCCCATAGGAGAAGGAAATGGCTAAATGCCAAAGTGAAGTTCAATATGGGCAATTCTGTGAAGGCCAAAACAATGTGGTCCCTTCATTTTCTGATGCTGTGGCTTAATTCAAGGATACCATTTAGAGTACTTGGAGGAATGGATGGTGCTGAAGCCTTCAGAGACTCCTGCATTTATTGAGCTCTTGATAAGGATTGAGTGGCAGTGAGTTGGAGGTCAAGTGTCTGGGCACTAGCTATTCTATGAAGCTCATTAAGAGCAGAGCTTTGTGCCTTTTGACTTTCTACTGTGCCAGGGGCAGCACTGATGGCCTGTAATGAATGTTGAGGAGCTTATCAAGGATCCATGGCTGAATACAATGCCACCCCAGCTCCCTAATGAGGTGAACCTAGTGCACACCTATGAGAAGGATCAAGGGTCTTCTACCACTCCTATACTTTTTGGCATAACAGATTTTTAATAGAGCTTATTACATACCCAGTTTAGTCATACAAGATTTCAAAATATCCAATTTAAAACAATATAACTTCCTAGAGAACCTTCTAAGATAAATTGGTTTTGAAATATGCAAATGTTCTGTCTTGTATCAGTCAGCTACTATTATGTAATAAGTCACCCAAACCTTTAGTGTTTAAAATCAATAACTGTTTAGCTTCACAATTTTGCAGTGATACAGATAGGGTCCATGTAGGTGTTTCTTATGGTTTCTGCTAGGTTCTGGTATGTCTGGCAGTTGACTGCCAGATTAGACTGGAGCTGATTTGTCTGTGGAAGCTTCAATTGCTTCCTAATCCTCCATCAGCTAGTCCAGATTTTTCACATGATATCTGGGTAGGGTTGGAATAAAGAACCATGAAAATTTCTTGAGACATCAGCCTGGAATTAGCACATCACTTATGCCATATTCTTTTAACTTTTTGAATTAAACTTTTAATTTAGAGACAATTATAGACTCAATTATAGTAAATGATATGGAGAAAACTGTATTCTGTGTATTCTGTACACATGATAACATTTTGCAAAACTATAGTACAATATCAAGACCAAGATACTGACATTGACACAATCAAGATGCAGATTGTGTCCAGCACCACAAAGATGCATCATCTTGATATAACCACATCTACTTCTTGCCTGTCTCTACCACATCTTTAATCCCTGGCAACCTTTATCCTCCACTTTTATTATTTTTTCATTTTAATAATGATATATGACTTGAATAATACATTATGCACTCTTTTGGTATTGGCCTTTTTTCTATCAGCATAATTCTCTAGAGATTCATCCAAGTTATCTGTTATCAATAGTTCATTTTCTTTTTATTGTTGGGTAGTATTCCATTACATGGCATTGTCTTATCTGAGTTACAAACTAGTTAGTTTATAAACAACAGAGATTTAATTTCTCACAGTTTTGGGACTGAGGAAGTTCAAGACCAAGGCAGTTGGTGTCTGGCTTTAAGGGCCTACTCTTTGGCTTATAGATGGTGCCTTATTGCTTTGTTCTTATGTGATAGACCAGGCTAGCTAGCTCACTGTGGTCTCTTTAAGGGCACTAATTCCAATCAAGAGGGCTCTGCCCAACTTCTTTCCAACCCCATTTCCTAAAACCATCACCTTGGAGGAGAGTAGCATTTCAACCTATGAATTTGGAGAATTTTGGAGAAACATTCAGACCATAATAGGAATGTATCACAGTTTGTATAATCATAAAACATCTATAATCATTTGCCTACAGATTTTTGTGTAAACTTACTTTCATTTCTCTGGGATAAGTGCCCAGGGATATAATGGCTGAGTCTTATAGTAGTTACATATGTTATGATTTTTTCTTTCCTTTTTTTTATTTTAAGAAACTGCCAAACTGTTTTTCAGAGGCTAGATCATGTTACATTCCTACCAGTGATGTATGAATGATTCAATTTCTCTTCATCTTCTCCAATATTTGGTGGTATCACTTTTTAAAAAAATTTGAGCTCTTCTAGTAGCAGAGCAGTGATATCTTATTGTTGTTCTAATTTGTGTTTCCTAGTGGCTAATGATGTGGGGCATTTTTATATATTTATAATCATTTATATATCCTCATAAGTGAAGTGTTTCTTCATATCTTTTGCTCATTTTCTGACTGCATTGCTTTTATTTTTTATACTGTATTGTTGATTTTAAAATAATTGTTTATATATTATAGGGGAGTGATGGTGAACCTTTTTGAGCTTTCAATGATATAAACAACCCGCTGCGGAATGCATGCCATAGGCTCACCACCACTGTTCTAGAGATTGGTCCTTTGTCATATATGTAGTTTTCAAAACATTTTTTTTTCTGGCTGGACATGCAGCACACCTTGTAATCCCAGCCCTCTGGAAGATTGAGTCGGGAAGATTAAAAGTTTGATACCTGCCTGAGCAACTCAGTGAGACCCTGTTCCAAAAGATAAAAAAGGGCTGGGGATGTACTTCAGTGGAAAGGAAGTTTCTTCAAACCTGTAGCTTGTCTTTTTTTATCATCTTCACAAGGTCTTTCACAGAACAAAAGTTTCTAATTTTGATTAAGTCCAATTGTTTTAGCTTTCCATCCGTGTGAAAAAAATAACTGAGAGAAATAATTTAAAAGCAGGAAAAATTTATGTTGGCTCCCGGTTTCACAGGCTTCAGTTCATGGTCACTCAGCTCTGTTGTTGCCAGTCCTGTGTTGAAGGACTTAACCATGAGATGCATGTGGTAGATGAAAGCTGCTCAGCTTATGCCAACTGAGAAGTAGAGAGAAAGAGAGGGAGAGATGATGGGAAGGGGCCAGGGACAAAATATATCCTTCAAGGCACATTCCCAGTGACCTATGATGTTCATTAAATAGTTTTTGTTTGTATATGGATGGGCAACTGATCCCCGATCATTTGTTGAAAAGCTCTATTTCTTCCATTGAAATGTTCTTATATTTGAAGAAAATCAGTTGGACATATTTGTGTGGCCCTATTTTTGGCTTCTTTCTTATGCATTGATCTAGGGCAGTGATGGTGAACCTTTTAGAGCTTTCAATGATAACAAACAGCTGGCTGCGGCCATAGGTCAGTCACCACTGGTCTAGAGTACTGACCAATATCTCACTGTCTTCATTATTGTATTGATATATCTTTTTAATTGGGTTAACTCATACTAGTCAGCTTTTACTCACTGTATTGAAATACCTGAGGAGGCTACTAATGAACAAAGAGGTTTATGTAGCTCACAGTTTCAAAGATTCAAGAGCATGCTGCTTGCATTGTCTCAGTTCTAGTGAGCACTCTCTGGGCTGTGATCACATCTCAAACAGGAAGCCAGAAAGTAACTCAGGGGCAGACCTAGGCTTGTATAGCAACTCATTCTCCTGCGGACTCATTCTAGGAGATTCATTTCTACTTTGGCCCTCAATTACTCAAGGGCCTCCTACTGCATCCCACCTTTTAAAGGTCCACATCACCACCATGGGTACCAAGCCTCCAACACATGAACTTTGGAGAAACATACAACATCTTAACCATAGTATTGATTCATTCAACCTTATTCTTCTTTTCAAATTGTTTTAGTTATTTTTTTTGGTCTGTTCATATACATTTCAGAATAATCTTATCTATATCTACAGGGAATCTTGCTGGGATTTTGACAGGAGTTATACAAAATCTATACATAAATTAGGATACAATTGACATCTTTATTATGTTAAGTCCTCTAATTCATCATGACATATTTCTCCATTTATTTAGATCTTTCTTGATTCCCTTCATTAGGGGTTTGTAGTTTTTTTTGGCATACAGGTCCTATGTATGTTTTGTTATAATTTTCCTTCAACGATCAAGCATACTTTATTAAATTCAGGATGAGAAGGACAGTCATTGTGTTTCCCAAGTCCTTCTTCCTTGCTGATGTTCCAAGTTTCTCTCTTCTTTCATTTCATTTTTGTTTAGAGATATTTCTTTAGACATTCTTTTTTGATAGGTACCCTGGTAAGAACATCTCTAGTTTCCCATCATCTAAGAATGTTTTGATTTCCTTTTCATTCTTGAAGGCTATTTTCACTGGGTGTATGCACATTTCAGCATCTGAAAAATGCTCCATCACTTTCTTCTTTCTTCCACTGTTTCTGGTGAGAAATCTACTGTCATTCAAATTGGATTTTTTTCCCTGTCAAAAGATGTTGTTTCTCTTGCTGTTTCCAGGATATTTTTGATTTTCTTTAATTTTCAAAAAAATGCCTATGATGTTGATCTTTACAAAAACAATTTATTCTGTTTGAGTTTGCTTAGTGTCATGAATCTATAGGCTCATGACTTTTTTGTATTTTCAAAAATTTCAGCAATTACTTCTTTGAATACTTTTCAGTCCTGCTCTATTCACTCTATTCTCTCCTTCTTTGACTCAAATGATATGAATGTTAAGTCTCTCATCACAGTCTCACAAGTCTCTGAACCTTTTTTTTTTTTTGCCTAGCTTATTTTGCCCTCTGTTGTTCACGTTAGGTAATTTCTATTTTTCTATTTTTCTGCTTACCGATTCTTCCCCCTTCTATTCTATTATTAAGTTCATCTATTGAATTTTTAAAAATTGTAGTTATTATAGATTTTAGGTCTAAAATTTCTATCTTGTTCTTCTCTAAGTCTTTTATTTGTTTGCTGAAACTTTACTTGTTTCAAGTGTGTTATAATTGTTCACGGAAGCATTTTTTATGTTGGTTGCTTAACAATTCTTATCAGATAACTCAAATACCTCCATCATCTTACTATTGTCACTTATCACTTCTTTAAAAAACTCAGTTTGAGATCTTCCTGTCTTTTAGTCTGATGGGTGGTTTTTAAATTAACACCAGGACATTTGGGGAAGTGTAAGAGTTTCAGATCTTATTTCTGGCTGGCTTTCTCTGGTACCAGCCATCAGGGAGAAGGCTATGCTGCTTTAATAGAATGTGGGAATAGAACTGGAGGTTTTTCATTTAGACTCTGTTGACACCTGACTTATTTATTCTACCACATTCTTTTGATCAGTATAAGTTGTAAAGCCAACTTATATTCAAAGAGTGAAAAAAATGGATTCTTTCTCTTGGTAAAGCTTCAAAGTCACATTGAAAAAGGACATGGATATGGAGAGGGAAACAATTGTAGTCACTTGCTTTAGTGATTATGGTTATTAATCGATAATATTAGCTTTGGTTTGGGAACAGGCAGTTTTTTTTTTTTACAGAAGAAAATAGAAGTTGTTTATTGCCTATAATTCCATCATAAACATTGTAAATACATTTTCTTCCATTCATTTTTCTACATATTCGTATAACAATTAAAGATAATGGATTATGTCATATATAGAGATTTAATATGGCTTACTAATTTATCATTATGCTATGAGATTCACACTTTTCCCCTTAGCCAGTGCTGCACATGCACAAACAAAAATCAGTCTCTCCCTCTATTTCTGTCTCACATGCACATGCACTTTAGATTTATTAATATCATTGGTTAATAAAGTTAGATCAGTTGTTCTTCATCAGTAAGAAACATTATCTTCCCCTATTACTTTCTCTCTCAGAAAAAATTCTTACTCAAAATTTCATCATCCATATAATTTACAGAGGGCAGAGAACCCTCTGCCACCAGACAACAGGGAAAGGGTAAAGATGTTCTTTGCAACAAGAATCGTACTTCTACTCCAAGTTCAACTATTTATCAAAACAATATTTCCTTTTCTTACATCTTTCTAAGTACCAAAATTGTAAATGCATTGCCTGTTACATGTGGGAACAGGTGGTCTTAAGTTAGCATTTTTTTTCCATCAGTGATTTGATAGCAGGGCCTTTTCCATAAGGACCCTTAATATGTCAAAAAATCAACATGTTATTAATTTATAAGAAAATGTTTACCTTTTCCCCCCCTGTAGTTGATAGTCACATATCCATCTTACCTGAAGGTGGAATAGAATTATTTAAATACAATTTAAGGAGAAAAGTGGCTATAATACATTCTCTTTTATTTTGGTCTTAGAATTGAAATCTTATCTGTCAAGACTTTCTATTGATCCTGAAAACTGATCTTATGTAATCTATGACAAATCAATACAGGAGAAAGGACAATAATTAATGTAGACGATCATATGTTGTATTACTAGATTTCTCTATAAAGTTGTTTTACCCAGATTTCTGGACAAGGTATGAAAGAGTATAACAACACTCAGTAATAGAATAATTGGGGTCAATGATCATGTTTCATATAGAATATTGGTTTGCAGAGATGAGAGCCCCATACCTGTAGATTTGATAAAAGTGAAGTAGATTAGTAAGTTTTCTAATCATAGATGTCTCAAATGGTCCTAAAGCTTGAACTTTTAGATAAATTAAATTTTTTCCCATATTCCTAATGTAGTGATGGCATCTTATGAATCTCTTGGAGTTGATATGTTTTTTTTTTCCTGAGACAGATCTGGGTCTTCACTACATAGGGAGGATAGTATGGGCACTGTTTCTCACAGTGCCCGAGCCCATCCTGAGCTTCACAACCCATCTGCCATATGCCCCAATTCTGTGTCTCTAGAAGTAGTGCCTGCCTTTCAACTTCTAGCAAAGCCTTGTGCACATTCTATCTATATTTGCAGATCAGTCCTAGAAGTGGAGTTACTAGTTCAAAGTGTATGATGAATTTTATATCTTGTAAAATACACTATCAAATTAATCTCCAGAAAGTTATTCACTCTTTTCATTTCCTTGAACACTCGCTATTATTCGATATTATGATTTTTAAAAAACCTTTTCCAATTAGGTAGGCAAAACAATGTTTTCTTACTATGTCTCTATAGATTTTAATCCAAGAGCTTAATTTTATTTTTTAATCCAAGATTTTTATTTTTATGTCCTAAATTCCGTTCCTAGGTCTTCCCCCAAATCAAGAGACTTTTATGTAAATGTCTTCTTTCCTACTTACTTCTGGTCACCTCAGAGTTCTGTGAGGCATGTTTGCATCAGGTTCAGTTTACATGTCTGGCTCTTGTTCAATTAGCCACCCACTCTGAGTTTTCAAGCAGTGTTGGATCTCTTGGTGTTGTGTTCATGGTCTTCTGGACGTGAGCACTGGGAATTCTTTTCTGTCCTGTAGGAGTCTGCTGTGGGCTGAGCTCTCTTGTCTTGTTTGGTAATAGGGGGAGATTAGAAGTGGCCTCCACAGGTGGTGAGCAGAGCAATAACTGGGAAAACAAGCAAGATCAATATCTAATCCTTTGCAGCCAGCCAACCTTTTCAGAGCCCCATCTTCATTGATTTCTCTGGGTGCCACTTCCCTTTCCTGGGTCATCAGTCCCTTTGGTCAGTGGGTGAACAAGCACGTAGCACTTATTCCTTCCTTTGAAAGAGCAGGGATGGCTGCTTAACTCTGAGTTGCTGGAGAGGAGGAAGGGAAGCCCAGAGTGGCTGCCTTTTAGACTAAATCCTCTGTAAAGAGGCCTGAGTGACACGGGTATTTAACTAGTTTCATCCTTTTTCTGGATTGAAGGCTCACAAGTCCAGGGAGTGGAGAGAGATGTGGCTGAACAGCAACATGGTGGAGAAAAGGTCAGTAAAGTCAATGGAAAAGAATGACTTTTATTAAATGATCACTATAGCTTCCAGTGAGATAAGCATTTTACAAATGAAAGAATGTGGCTTGGGGAAGCCAAGTTCTCAAAAGCAGATGACTGGCAACGTGAGATTTGGAAGACACCAACGTCATTACATAACACTGCATTCTCTACTCCTGATCCGAGGACCAAAACATCTAACTCTGTATGGTTAAAAATATCTGGATGGATCTCTCAATTCCAGGACATTGATAAGAAACCAGGGATGCTTGTTTTAAAAAGGAGAACATATCATTAAATATCGAAAGGACTGTGATATGAAGAAGTTTGAATTTTTGGTTGTTGTTGCTTCAAAATGCAAAAGTAGTATGAGAAAGTGGAGATTGTGCCTCTGTGGAAGGAAATTCATTTTTAAGCAGTTGCATATATTTAACAAAATAATTGTACTGAGACCTTCTCCTAAATGAAAGCACATTTTTACATAAACTGTGTACTTCTGAGTATGCTTTATCCTAGAGTACCCAGTGAACCCTTATTCATCCTCAAGATTCAGGCAAATACCATAAATCCATGGATCCTTGCAGGCACTCATCCAAAAGTGTTTACTATATGCTAGGGAATGTGTTAGGAACTGGGGATCCATGATAAGGAAGACATACTGAGTCCTCATGAAGTTTTGTGGAGTGATTCTCCTCTCTGCGGCTATGCTTGGTATGTGTTTACTGAAGTGTTCTCAGTTGAGGCTCCTCTATGCTTCCCCTGTACCTTTTGACATCTTCAGTTTGGTGCTCATCATCCCACAGTGCCCTACTCATATGTGCTCGGGCCTTATGATGGCTGCATTTGTTTTTTAACTTCCAACTGCCCGAGACTTTTTCTGGCAGTCGCAGTCCACTCTGCTGGAGAAACACAGCAGGCTAGCAGTGCCAGAGAACTACTACCCTTTGGGTTCTTTCCACAAGAACCTCAGATGGGAGTTGATATTTTCTGTAACTCAGATCTCTCATTCCTCAGGTAGGATAATGCTAACAAGTATGCTCCACACTGACTTCTGGAGTTCCCTGTGGCCCTGTTTCCTGCTCCAGAGGTAGTAATAACTGGTTGGTAATTCATGCTCAATCAGTTGCTTTCTTCTCCTGGTCTCACTTTTCTATTAGAGTTTCCTGTAATTACCTCCTAAACAAAGCCCTTGCCCTTGAATTTTTTCAATGTCTACTGCCATGGGAACACAAATGCTGTTTGACACTGTTGATGAGCAGTGGTGGTTGAGGGCAGGCATCACATTATAATGAACATATTTATATAGCAAGGCAGTGATTGTTTCATATGAAGATATTTTTATGGTATTTTAGTTTAATTAGCAATACATGTGTGCACATTGTGTTCTTTTCTATTGGTACCACCATGAAAAATCAAACCCATCCAAAGAGAGGAAGTGAGACCAAACAGGGAATCAACATCTACTTGGGTGTCTGGTTGCCTCACACAGACTGCGTGTTCTGTAGGAGCAGTGATACATATTTTCTTCCCTGCTGTATCTCAGGAACTTGCAAAAGACCATGGCTCAGAATGAGCAGCAACAACGCGGGATTGACTTATACATTCAAGCCTCCTCTTTATGAATTTCAATTTTCACAAACACATTTAATAAGAACAACAACCTCAATTGCCGCAACGATTTATAGGCAATTTTCTATGGGACAGGCATTGTGGTTGGTACCCTGCATACATTTTCTCATTTTAAACTTCCAACTTTTAGGGTGGTGCTACATGATACAGGTGTTAATCTTGCAGCAGATGCCCTCCCCCGTCTCTTCATAGCTCGTCTGAGTTCACCTGCAGCTGTGAGTCCTGTCAGTCCCACCAGCTCTTCACCTCAGATGCCTCCATCTCTTGTGTCTTCTTGAGGGCTTTATTAGCATCATGGGAACTTGTTCTACTGTGCATAGATGGGAGCTAAAAGTGCAGGTAGAAACCTTGGGGATGGTTGTCATTGTGAGATAACGGAATAGGCAGATGTTCTGCCCCAGCCTCCCTGCCCTTCATGAAGGTTCTAAGTTATGCTTCATATCATTTCCCAGAGCATGCCTGTGAGATGGGGCCTACAACAGAATTGGCTTGCTAACACATGCCTAATTTTTTGTTTCCCTTTTCTGTCTTTTTCTTAATTTCTTCTTCTGCCACAGAGAATCACCTATGTCCAAGCCTTTATTTCAGAGTCTATTTTGAGGAATCCAAATTAGACAGCCTTCATTTTGCCACTGAAAAAATGGACTTTTAGAGAGGTTAAATGACTTGATTGTGGTTGTTCAGTTAATAAGTGGTAGGCTCAAGATTTGAGCCCAGACCTGTCTCCTCTACGATCGTTCCCTTCTCTGTTGTATACAAAAATACTATCCAACCACAAAGGGAGGTTTCTTCATTCCTTCCTTCACATTCACATACTATGTGCCAGGTTCTCTTTTAGGTACTAGAAATATGAATAATGGCAGTGCAAAATTCCCAAAGATCTTAGTCTCTAGAAGGCGAAGCAGTTTGGAAGTAGTTACAAATACTAAGAACAGTTAAAAGAGAGAGAGAGAGGGAGGGAGGGAGGGAGAGAGAGAGAGAGAGAGAGATCATCAGAAATATTCCAGTTCTACAACTCAAGAGCACAGTGGAAAGTCAATAGTATTGTTATTAATCACCTCTATAAAAACAATAACTTGATAATTCTATTTTCATACATTCATTAGGCACTAAAACCTAATTTTTTAGGCACAATGGATTTATATAACAAGGCAGTGTAAGTAAGTTCATTTTGTATTCAGTTTCCAAGATGTTAACTTACATTTAATAGTTTGGTAATTGATCTATGTCATTTTAAATTATTGGCACAGTCTTCAGTGGAGGAAGGGAAAATGTAACTAGAAGCCCAGTGTATCTCTGACCTGTAATTGCTGTAGGTTGTGGATAAAAATTAGATTACTGTGAACTGTCTCACGGTCTTTGCTTAGTTTAGGGTCATATGTGTACCCTCACTTTCTCAGGAGATAGTATCAGAAATCTGGTGGTATTGCACTAGTTCTGACAGCGGCCCTTTTGGTTATCATATAGTAACTGTCACTTTCCTCCTTTGCTACTTCAGCTCATTGTGATTTCTCATCTCTGATGGTTCCCAGAGAGTGTTGACATCACTGTATCAAAGCCCTGCATACTGATGACTGTTGTGCTGTTGATGCCCAAACCTCGGGACCAGTGTCTAGACTGCCAGTACTTTCTCCTATGACTGACTGTCAAAGCAGCTGAGAACTTGTTCCCTCCATTTTCCCATGTCCTTGAAGTCATCTTGACAGCCTGCTCCTGGTGGGGACTGGGTGGGGGTGGGGATGGATACTTGCTAGCATTTTCTACTTGAAGAGTGAATTCCATATACTTCCTCATTTGTAATATAGAGATAGTAATAGGCTCTATCTTAACGGCCATAGTAGACAGTGTTTAGGGTCTCTTTGGCTCTCACCATTTTTAGGCAACTTAGCTTAACTTTTTATTGCCAGCAGCTGCTTTTCTTTTCCCAGAGGCTTGCTGTGAATGCCACAAGCTTGGCAGCCAGAAATGTCAAAGAATTAGTTTCCTGAGAGCAACCTTCAGCCAATGACTAGGGAGAATTATTGTATATATTCTAGCTCTTTTGACCCTTGCATAGGATAGCCTTGAAGGGTCCTAGGCTGCCCACTGTCTTGAGCTCCAGTTGCTCATGGTGGCTCCTGCTTGTGACACCACACCTATTACTTGATCCTTTCCTGTCTCTGTCTTATTTCTCCACTCCCCTACCAGTATTCAACTTCCAAATGAACAACTTGCAGCCAAATTTCTGTCTCAGATTCTACTTCTGCAGGAACCCAAACTACGATATGGGTTGCTATCAACATTAAATAACATATGCACGTATAGCTCTTAGCATGATATGTGTATATTAATCAATTGGAATTTGGTGAATAAAGTATATACTTGATTTCTCAAAATTGTATAGTTTTATCTGATATTCTTTCCTTCCTCTCTCTCTTTCCTCCTCTCTTTCTCTCTCTTTCCTTTCTTTCTCACAAAGAACTGGTACACAGGTCAGTGGGGAGGCTGAGGCAATTGGGGAGCAATCAGGGCCAGGGCCAGAGTCTGCAGCACCGGATCCACTGTCCCACGTCCTCAGCCCCCACGGCCGGGTTCTCTGAGCATCCACTTTCTATAGGAACTGAACAGGGTACACAAAGGAGGCAGAGTTGGTGTCTTCTTGCAACAAGCTCTGGGGGCCTCCCTCCTTGTCCCTTGCTGGGGTGGGGACACATCAGGGGCTGCCAGCTCTGGGCCACTGTGCCCCAGAGGTGCTAATCACAGAGATCCAATCTTCCCAGGTATCCCAGCCCAGCAGCACTGCAGCAGTACAGCCCGGAGCGAAAGCTGCAAGTGTCACTGGCCTAATGGCTGTGTTGGGAGAAGGGGATGGCAAAGTCACCAGAGAGGGAGGGGCTCCAGAGCTGTCACAGCACAGGCACGACTTGCACGGTGTTGGTGACATGGGAGCCAGGGCACCACCTGGTCAGCACAATGACCACACCTCCCGTCTTGAAGAAGCCTCGAGCCTTGCTGACGTTCATGGCCAAGTTCACGCGCAGGTCCACGTCCTCAGCCCAGGTCTGCTGCTCAGGGTCCTTGCACACCATGGGGAAGCTGCCACGCACAGGTGGGCCTGGAGCCGTCTGGGGGCTGCAGGTTATGGTGATGATGGGGGCAGGGGATGGTACTGAGCCACCTGGTGGGCAGAGCGCAGGACTTGGTGAGCAAGATAGTGGCCCTGTGGCAGCACTTGAAGGAGGCCTTTCTGGAGTCCAGGGCAGCAGCTTCTGTGGGGTGGCTGGTAACGGGCTAGGTGGTGCAGTTCCTCCAATAATCGCAAGTGGTAGATGGCAGCCTCTGCCTCTCGGGCAACCAGGTGCTGCATGATCACAGCCTCGAGCTGGTAGTTGCCCTTGGCTGACTCTCCCCACAGCATGACGCAGTCCACCCCGTCCAGGATGGCATTGGCCACGTCACTGCCCTCAGCCTGCGTGGGCCGGGACTTCTTGATAATGTCCTCTAGCAACTGCGTGGTGCAGATGCCGGGCTTCCCCACGCGGTTGCAGGGCCCAATTGTCAGGGAGACCTGCATAGGAATCTCGATGCCGAGGTCACCATGGGCCACTCTGGTGCAATCGCTGACCTCCAGGATCTCACCGAACCTCTGCACCCCTTTGTGGCTCTCAATCTTGCTGATGATTTTGATGTTCTTCTCCTCCTGTCCCAGGACCTGCCTCACCTTGTGGACATTGGCAGCCTGGAGGCTGAAGGGTGCAAACACTATGTCTGTATCCTGCTGCACCCCAAACTTCAGACACAGCAGGCAGGTTCGGGAAGGTTCACATCCTTCTTGCTGCCCATGGAGCCACCATTATCTACCTCGGTCACCAGGAAATCAGGACTTTGTCCTGCACTAGCAGGGAAATGAGGCCGTCGTCCATGTACATCTTACTGCCCATG